TTTATTATTTTATGTATTTATTTATTTATTTTCTTATGTTTTCTAATTCAGGTTCTCTGGGAAGAAGCCGCGTGGGAACCCGCCTCCCTCAGCAGCCTCATGTTGGCCCCGACGCTGAAGTTGAAATTCCGGTAAATAAAATAAAAATAAAATAAAAAATAAAATAATAAACAGATAAATAAATAAATAAATAATAAATAAATAAGTAAAAAGAAATAGAAATGGCGGTGAAGCGGCAAACGCAGACGGTCGACTTGCGGTGTACGTACACCGCAAACTCGGGAAGGTCAAATAAATAAAAATAAATAAAAAGAATTTAAATAAATAAATTTAACTATTTCCTTTAATTCATAACTTCAGTAAATGGTTTTAAATAAATAAGTGTCTTCAAATGCAAAAGATTTTCCATTCAAATAATTAAAAGAATTTGAATTCAATTTAGTCAGAAAACATTTCTCATTTGTTTCTCATTTGTTCGCCTTTTATCCTTTTATTTATGTATTTATTTATTTTTTTAAATTTATTAGTTTATTAACTCATTTATTGATTTGTTTTTTTATTATTTATTTATTTATTAGTGCATTCATTCATTTGTTTATCATTAGTTAATTCATGAATTCACATATTTATTATTTGTCTATTTATTTATTAAGTAATTAACTAATTAATTTATTAATTAATTAATTAATTAATTAATTAATTAATTAATTAATTATTCATTATTATTTATTTATTTATTTATTATTTGTTTATTTATTTTATTAGTTATTTTTTTATTTTATTTGCAGGCAAGCTTTGCTGTTATCTCACCCCGATAAACACCAGGGGGCTTCTCCCTCTCGACAGGTAAATTAAATTTATTAAATTTAATTAATTAATTTAATTTGATTAATTAAATTAAATTAATTAAATTAAATGAGTTTTGAATTAAATTAGATTTAAATAAATGAATAAGAAAAGTAATTAATTGACGAGATTAAATAATAAATGAAACTTATAAATAAGAAAAGAAATTACTGGGCAAATGGTCCTTATTTAATTTATTAATAAACTAAATAAAGCAATTAATTAATAAAATAAATGGTTTAAATAATTAAATCCACATCTTAATGAATTGGCGAATTGGCGACCACAAACACTGAGAAACCCAAGGCTGCCAAGCCCTGCTGTTGCTGCTGCTGCTGCTGCTGTTGCTGCTGCTGCTGTGGCTGCTGCTGCTGCTGCTATCGTTCCTACTGCTGTTGTTTCTTCTGCTGCTGCTGTTTCTGCTGCTGCTGCTTCCACTACTGCTGCTACCACTACTACAACTACTACAACGACAACAACTGCTGCTGCTGTTGCTGCTGCTGCTGCTGCTGCTGCTGCTGCTGCTGCAGTACCGAGCCGAGCGGATCTTCCAGGCTTTGAACGAGTCCTTTAAGTTGGTGGCGCCTTGAGGTGTCCGTACACCTCGGCGCCGCGGGTTTTCTTTTATTTGTTTCTTTCCTTTTATGTATTTCTTTTATTTATTTCTTTTATTTATTTATTTCTTTATTCCTTTATTTGTTTATTTATTTATTTATTTCTTTTCCAAAATCTTGAAGGCCTTAGTGGCAAACAAAAGACAGAATTAAATGTCGAAAGAAGCAGCAACAAAGAACTCCAAAATTTTTTCTTTATTTCTTTTTATTTCATCTTAATTTAATTTCTTTATTTCTTTTTTGCTTCATTTTAATTTCTTTATTTAATTTCATTTTGATTTAATTTATTGAATATGAAAAAGCCAGTTTACTTTCATTTAACTCTTTTTTGTTAGTGCATTTAATCTCACGGCTAGCTAGCTAGCTAGCCAGCTGGCTAGCTAGCTGCTGGCTAGCTAGCTGGCTGGCTAGCTAGCTAGCTAGGCTTTTATTCTATCTGTCTAGCTAGATACCTCGCTAACTAGCTAGCTGTCTAGCTAGCTAGCCAGCTAGCTAGCTAAGCTGTCACTCTATCTGTCTAGCTGGCTACCTAGCCAACTATCTAGCTAGCTGTCTAGCTAGCTAGCTAGCTAGCTAGCTACCCAGCTAACTATATGGCTAGCTACCTAGCTGGCTAGCCAGCTAGCTAGCTACCTAGCTAGTGACCAAGCTGCAGGAGTGGCCAGTTGGCCAGCTAGCTGGGGCCAGCTAGCCTGCTAATTGGCTAGCTAGCTAGCTAGCTAGCTAGCTAGCTAGCCAATTAGCCTCAGCTAGGAGACTAATTGAACAACTAGCTAGCTAGCTGACTAGCCAAATGGCTGGCTAGCTGGGCCAGGAGCAGCTGGCTGTGGGGCCGTGGCGGTGGCGCTGCAACTAGCAGCAGCAGGGGCAAGCTGCTGCAGCAGCAACTAGCTAACTGCTGCAAAGAGCTGCAGCAGGTTGCGATCTGCTGCTGCTGCTGCTGCTGCTGCTGCCGCGGCGAATCCGCTTCTGAGTTTGCACGAGGGTTTAGGGTTTAGGGTTTATGTTCAACAGCTAGGGTTTAGCGGCTCTTGATATATATTTAGTTAAAACTGTAAACACAGCTGCAGCAGCAGCAGCTGCTGCTGCTGCGGCTGCTGCACCAAAGGATCACTCGGCCCAGGGCCTCGGGGCCCCTGAGCAGCAGCAGCAGCAGCAGTAGCAGCAGCGGCGGCGACAGGAGCAGCAGCAGCAATAAAACAAAAAATAAAACAAATTTGATTTATAAATTGATTTCCATTTTTGTTTACTTGGGGTTTCTGGGCCTCGCCAGCAGCAAGACAGGCGGCCCCACAGCAGCAGCAGCAGCAGCAACAGCAGCAACAGCAGCTGCTGCAACAACGATTGCAGGAGATCCGGGCTTTTAAGTAAAAAGCTGCAGCAGCAGCAAAGCCGCAGCAGCAGCACATCTGCAGCAGCTGCAGAACCCCCCTGGCTCAGCAGCAGCAGCGTCAGCAACAGCTGCAGCAGCAGCAGCATCGCCATTACCACATCATCATCATCATCGGCAGCAGGAGCAGCATCGCCATTACCACATCATCATCATCAGCAGCAGCAGCAGCATCGCCATTATCATAATCAACATCACCAACAGCAGCAGCAGCAGCAGCAGCAGCAGCAGCGTCGGCATCACCAGCAGCAGCAGCAGCAGCAGCATCGCAGCAGCAGCAGCGTCTGCATCCCCAGCAGCAGCAGCAGCAGCAGCGGCAGCACCCCCACGCCCACCCCCACGCCCAGTCCCAGCAGCAGCAGCAGCAGCAGCAGCAGGATGCAGCGGGCGTGCGAGATGGTGGTGTCTTTGCTGCGGCCGCAGCAGCAGCAGCAGCAAGCGCCCTACCATGTGCTGAATGTCCAGATTTTGGCGCTGCTGCAGCGCGAAGGACTCATAAGGGGTTTTGCTGTCAACGGCAGCAAAATCAACATTCTCCTCAAACACTACCAGGGCGCCCCTGTTCGTCTGCTGCTGCTGCTGCTGCTGCTGCTGCTGCTGCTGGGTCTAGGCTTACGCTGCTGCTGCTGCTGCTGCGTCTTTACCTGCACTGCTGCTGCTGCTGCTGCTGGATCTATAGTATTTCTGCTGCTGCTGCTGAGTCTGTGCTTAACGGTGCTGTTGCTGCTGCTGCTGCACCTATGCTTACGGTGCTGATGCTGCTGCTGCTTCTCTTGCTGCTGCTGCTGCAGCATTGCCTCCGCCTCTGCTGCTGCTGCTGCGCACACCACATCGCCTCTGCCGCTGCCGTTGCTGCTGCTGCTGCTGCTGCTGCTGCTGCTGCAGGTGATTCGGAACATCCGCGTGGTGTCGAAGCCCTCGCGGGCTATTTGGCTGACAGCAGCAGAATTAAAAGAAAAGACAAAATTCAATTCGGGGCTTTGGCTGCTGCAGACTTGCTGCGGTGTACAGACACACCAGGAGTGCATGCGTTTGGGAATCGGAGGCAAAGTCCTCATGGCCGTCAACAACGGCTTCCAGCACTTCTCGTAACTGCTGCTGCTGCTGCTGCTGCTGCTGCTGCGGGTGGCGCTGCGGGGGATGCTGCTGCTGCAGGTGGTGCGGCTGCTGCAGCAGGCGGTGCTGCAGCAGGAGGTGCTGCTGAAGGTGGTGCAGCACCAGGTGCTCCTGCAGCACCTGCTGCTGCTTTAGGTGCTGCTGCTTTAGGTGCTGCTGCGGCAGGTGCTGCTGCAGCAGGTGCTGCTGCAGGCCCTGCAGAAGTAGGTAGTGCAGCGGCAGGTGATGCAGCAACAGGTGATGCGTCTTTGTCTGCAGCAGCAGCAGCAGCAGCAGCAGATTTCTCCCAGTGCTGCTGATGCGGCAAGTGCAGCAGCAGATTTCTCCCAGTGCTGCTGATGCGGCAAGTGCAGCAGCAGCAGGTGCTGCTGCTGTTGCTGCCATGCTGGTGCTGCTCTTGCGGTGGCGCTGCAGCAGCACCAGATGCAGCAGCACTAGCTGCAGCGTCAGCACCCGCAGCTGCTGCAGCAGCACAAGCACCGGCACATGCAGCAGCGCTAGCAGCAGCACTACCAGCAGCAGCAGCACTAGCCGCAGCAGCAGCACTAACAGCAGCAGCAGCATCCGCAGCTCCTGCAGAAGCACCAGCAGCTGCTGCAGCAGCGCCAGCTGCACCCGCAGTAGCGACTGCACGCGCAGCAGCTGCCGCTGCAGGAGCAGCAGCAGATGCTGCAGCAGCAGCAGCAGCAGATGCTGCAGCAGCAGCAGCTGCTGCTGCTTTTTGCTGCAGGATGTTTAGGGTTTTGATTTAAAATTCTTTTTTGTGAAATCTTTCGAAGCAAGACACTCTTCGCTTCAGGTGTACGGACACCCCAACTGCAGCGCATGCGTTTTCTGGGAATTCTTTTTTGAATTCTTTTCGAAGAAACAAAAAATAAATAAATAATAAATAAATAAATAAATAAATAAATCATAACTAATTAATTGATCAATTAAATGAGGAAAGAGGGAAAAAGAAAAAAGCTGAATGGATTTGCAGTTCTGGAGAATGAGAAAAAAAAATAAATTAAAAATAAAAAGTAAAAAGAAGAAGCGAATTAATAAAAAGAAATAAAACAATTTAAAATAAAATGAAATGAAATAAAATAAAAATAAAAGAAAATAAAATAATAAAATACATGAAAAAGGATCAGAAAATAAAAGAAAATAAAAGAAGTGGAAAAGTAAAAGAGGAACAGCGGAACAAATTAATTCGAAAAAAATAGAAAGAAAGATATCAAAAAAATAAATCAAAAAATAAAAAAATAATTAATAAAAGAGTCGTTGGTTCGCTGCTGTTGTTGCCGCTGTTGCTGCTGCTGCTGTTGCTGCTGCTGCTACTGCTGCTGCTGTTGGCGCTGTTTGTGCTGCTGCTGCTATTGCTGCTGCTGTTGTTGTGGCCGCTGCTGCTGCTGCTGCTGCCGCTGTTGCTGCAGCAGCAGCATTTGGGGGCAAAAGAAAAGATCTGGTGGAAACTCCTCAAAAATAAAAAGTTTTATTTCCACACACAAAGTTTCAGGTGTACGTACACCTGAGCTTTCCATCTTCTATTTTTGCGTTTTCGAATTTTCCATTTTTGGAATTCAATTAAATCAAAAGTTCCATTTATATTATTTGATATTTTATTTCTATTTCTCTAAAAGATCCAAAATATACTAACTAGATATTTAAACAAATATATTTTCCTAAATATTTAAATAAGTGTTTTGATAAAGAGCTAAATAAACGTATTCAAAAGAAATAAATGTATTAATAAGGCTTAAATAAATATATCAACAAAGAAAATAAATAATACTAATAAAAAGTTGGAGAAATATATTAATAAGATTAAAATAAATATACCAATAAAGATTTAAACAAAAATATTTTAGATGAATACAGGAATATAGGAAATTGAAAATAAATTGAAAACAAATTAAATATTTCAAATAAAGACTTTTCATCTTTCAGAAGATCTCAACTTACATAGGTACATCTTTTATTTTTTATATTCATTTCATTATTTTATATTAATTAATATATTTTTATAATTTAAACGAAGCAAATAAACAGAATAATAAAAACGCAACAAGATAAATCCAAATTAGAAAATTAAATAATAAATAAATTAAAGAAACCAATCTGGGTCTTTCAAAGCAATAAATAGAGAAAATACAAATAAAAAAATAAATATAACAAATAAATATATTAATTATAACAAACAGAATAAATATAACTGGAACAGTTAATAATAAAAAGTAAAATAAGAAAAATAAATAAAATAATCCAACAATTACAACAAGTGAAAGAAACCCGAAAAATCCAATAGAAGGAATAAATGGAATTAATAAATGCACATTGAAAATCTATTTAAATGCAATATCTAACTACAACAAACTATTTCAATTACCATTTAATTTAATCTAATTAATTATCTAATTAATAAATTTATACTTTCATTTATTTATTTCATTTTCTAATTTGTTTCATTTAAGTAGAATGCATGCATGCAGCTGTACATACACACCGCTGGCACCTTAGAAGTGCATTTTTTCGGTTTTGGACTTTTTCGAAAATAAACTTAATTAAAGTTCCACTAAAAGTCTTTTAATTGGCGAAATAAATGGAAATAAATGCATTAAATGCATTTCAGGTGTACGTACAGCAGGGGCAAAAGCGCATGCATGCAGGTGAGTGCGAAATGTTGAGGTGTACGTACACCTCGGAAATGCGGGTTTTTGGAAAAAACTATTTTTTCGCAAACTGCATCATTTTGAGTTTTTCTTTTCAATTCTTTTGTCTTTTTTGCATTTAATTGAAGATTTTGCATGTATTTGATGTCCCTAAGTGCAATATTTTGCAGATTTGAACAGACTTCATTCTTTCTACTCCCCTGCTTCCCCTTAGGACTGACTATGCAGACTTGGCAGATTAAGTTTTCAAAAAAGTTTCTTCTATCATTCAAATGCTCTCAGCACCACAAATAATTTATTTTAATCCTTTTGTCTTTTTAATTTCATTTTAATTTCTTTTTAATTTCTTTTATCTTTCAATTTCTTTTTATTTTTCCAATTCTGCATTTCTTTGTTTCATAACTTGGACTTTTCGCAGTTAGAATAGTTTTTCTTTTGTTTCTTTTGTGTCCTTTTTGTCGCCAAAGGAATTCCAATTGTTTTTAAATCCACTTTCATTAAAACCATTTTCATTTTCTTTTTTATTTTCTTTTTTATTTTCTTTTTCTCTTTTGCCTGCTTTCTGCTGCTGCGGATACACCGCAACGTAAAACACCAAAAACAAAATGCAGCAAATTGTGCAGCTCCAGAAGATCTGAAAAACAAAAAAACAAAAAACAAAAAATAAGTTTAAGAGACATTAAAGAAACAAAAACATAAAAAAGAGATAAAAGAAGATAAAAACTATAAACAGAGATAAAAAAGAAATCAAAAAGAGACAAAAACGACAAAAGCAGACAAAAAGAGACAAAAAACGTCATCAACAGCAGCAGCAGCAGCAGCAGCGGCCTTATCACCATCGACATAAGCAGCAGGAGCAGGAGCAGCAGCAGCAGAAGCCTCATCATCATCGGCAGCAGCAGCAGGAGTGACCTGATCACCATCGGCTGCAGCAGCAGCAGCAGCGGCTTATCACCATCGGCAACAGCAGCAGCAGTAGCAGCAACAACAGCAGCAGCAGCAGCAGCAGCAGCAGCAGACCTTGACCCATTGGGGGCAGGGCGGGTGGGGCTGCAGCGCTCCTTCTAGAAAATAAAATTTTAAAATCAAAAGAGACTCCGTGGAGATCACCGCCATGTCCAGCCAGCACTGCACGCCCATGCGCGGGCAGTCCCTGCAGCAGCAGCAGCAGCAGCAGCAGCAGCAGGAGTGAAGGCGGGAGGGGGGGCAGCGGCAGTGGCGGCAAGTGCAGCGGGAGCAGCAGCAAATGCAGAGCAGAAGCAGCAGTGGTGGGAGCAGCGGATGTAGCAGCAGCACGAGTGTTGGCAGCAGCAGCAAATGCAGCAGCAGTACAAGCGTTAGCAGCAGCAGCACGAGCATAAGCAGCAGCAGCACAAGCGTTGTCATCAACAGCAGCAGCTGCAGCACAAGCATTAACGGCAGCAGCAACTCCAGCAGCATCCGCAAGTGCAGCAGCAGCAGCGAGTGCAGCAGCAGCAAGTGCAGCAGCAGCAGCATATGCAGCAGCAAGTGCAGCAGCAGCAGCAAGTGCAGCAGCAGCAGAAGCAAGTGCAGCAGCAGCAGCAGCAGGAGCTTCTCTCACGGGTCTGTTGCAACGACGTAGAACTCCCTAGTTCCTGCTGCGGCAGCAAATGCGAGCAGCGCGGTGCGCAGCAGCACGAGCCAGTGTTTGCTGCTGAGGCCCAAAATGGCTTTTAAAAAGAAAACATTTAAATCCAAAAGATTTACAAACAAACACAAAAACAAAGTCAAACAGAAACTCCGCGCAGAAGCCAGCATCGACGGCCACCGGTACCTCGTGCTGCAGCAGCAGCAGCAGCAGCAGCAGCAGGACACAGCAGTGCTTTCTCATTTGCTGCTCGCCATTTATTCTTTTCCACTCTTTTGTTTGCATGCAAAGAAAAACAAGTTGGGAAATCCATGCGGACAAATAGAAGCCAAAGAGATGCTGAAGCAGCAGCAGCAGCAGCAGCAGCAGCAGCAAATGCAGCAGCAGCAGCAGCAACAGGAGCAGCCGCAGGAACTGGAGTAGCGGCACAAGAAGGAACAGCGGCAGCAGTAGGAGCAGCAGCAGGGACAGGAGAAGCAGCAGCAGCAGCAGCAATTGAAGCTGCAGCAGCAGCAGCAGCAGCAGCGGGGTTAGTTGTCTGTCTGACAGTTCGTAAGGCATGAATTGTTTGAGGGTTTCTTTGAGGGGGGATCGTGCATTTTTTTGCTGCCGCTGCTGCTGCTGCTGCTGCCACATTTGCTGCCGTTCGTGGAGTTTGAGCAGCTCCTGCTGCAGCTCCTGCCGCTGCTGCTGCTGCTGCTGCCTCTGCTGCTGCTGCTGCTGCTGCAGCAGCTCCTTGTCCGCTGCTGCTGCTGCTGCTGCCGGCGTCTCCCTGGGGGAGTCGCACATGGGTGAAGAGGACGCTGCTGCGGCGACCGCTGTGGGCGTCCGCTGCTGCTGCTGCTGCTGCTGCTGCTGCTGCTGCGGGGGCCCGGGAGAAGCAGGACTGATGAAAGAAAAAGACTTTGCTGCTGAGTCTCCCAAAGCTTTCAAAGACAAAGAATAATCTTTGTGCCAATTGTAATGCAGCATTTGAAATCTCCGACAAAAAAATAAACCCAAAAACATCCCCAAAAAGTTGCAGCCAAACACGTCCAGGAGCAGCTGCAGCAGCAGCAGCAGCAGCAGCAGACACACAAATTCAACTCACTATTTTACATTTTTAATTTTTTAATGCTTCCTATTTCTAATTCTTTCTTTCTTTTTTAAGCTATTTCTCTGAAAGATCTTTTCTTTTTATTTCCTTTTCTAATTCTTTTTTTCTATTTTAAATTCAATTTCTTTGAAATATCTTTTCCTCAAATCCTTTTAAAACTATTTCTTTTTAAAGCTTTTTTTCTTTTTAAATCTTTCTTTCCTTTTAAACTTTCTTTTTTTTCAAAAGTCTTTCATTCCTTTTTCTGTTGTGGCAGCAACTGCTTCGAAACAAAACCAACAAACTAGGGTTTAGGGTTTAGGGTTTAGCGGGCAAGAAAGCTCTATAGTGCCCCGCGAGGTTGAAGAGAACTTTTAAATTAATTAAAATGAATTTGAAAATAAAATAAAACCTCAACTGAAGAAGTCCCGCTTCGGAGACCCTGCAAACGCCAAACCCTAATTTAGGGTTTGGCAAACAGCTAATCTGTGTCCAAGCCCTAAAGCCCCACTTCAAAAAAAGACAGCAGCAAAATCAGTCTTATGAGCAGATTAAACACTAAAAACCCATAAACTATAAACCCTAAACCCTAAGCCCTAAGCCCTAAACCCCAAGCCCTACCATCCAAACCCTAAACCCTAACCCGCTAAACCCCAAACCCTAAACCCTAGTCCCATAAACCCTACCCGGCAAGCCGCTAAACCCAAAGCCCTCCCCCCAGCCCGAAAACCCTAGCCCCTAGTCCGTAAACCCTAAACCCTAGCGTGTGGGGCGCAAACCCTAATTTAGGGTTTGGGCCTGGGACGCACGTGGTCCCACCAGCACTCGGCGAAGTTGGGGAGAATGTGTTTGAGGGAAAGTTCGAAAAGTTCGAAAGAAATCGACAAAAGCCACAAAAGGGTTTTCTCGCGAAGTACCAAGCCCTTGACAATCCACCCGAAGAAGTGCGCCAAAACAAATACATCCAGCTTTTCCTGAAGCGTTCAACCACTCACAAAACCCTAATTTAGGGTTTAGGGTTTGGCGTTTGAGGTGTGAGACAAGCCACCAAGCCACAACACGGACACAACACCCTTGACAATCCACCCGAAGAAGTGCGACAAAACAAATACATCCAGCTTTTCCTGAAACAGTTTAGTTCACTTACAAAACCCTAATTTAGGGTTTAGGGTTTAAAGTTTAGGGTTTAGGGTTTGAGAGGAACGACAAAAGGGGGTTGTAAACGCTTGAAAAGCCAGCCGGAGAAGCTTCCCAAAACAGACCCAGCTCCTACCGAGCCAGCATTACTCCACCGAAAACCCTGAATTAGGGTTTAGGGTTTAGGGTTTGCGAAAAGCGACAAAGGGGTTTTACCTGAACCCCTGAAAACCCCACGGAGGAGCTTTTCAAAACAAACACATCCGGCTCCCCTGCACGAGTCGAATCCCCTCAGAAAACCCTGAATTAGGGTTTAGGGTTTAGGGTTTACCCAAAGTCCAGCCCAAGAGTTGCAGTTGTCTGCGTAGTTTTTCTCCTTCTGCAAAACCCCCGCGTTGGGGTCGATGAAGTTTAGACCGCCGCGCACGTCTTCGAGTTTCTTCAAAACAAAAAATACATAAATTAAATTAAATTAATTAATTTTATTTTATTAATTTAATTTAATTAATTAATTAATTAAATTTAATTTGTTTGATTTAATTCGATTAAATGGAGTTGGCTTCGTCTAATTTATGGTTGGTTTGTTGAAGGGAGAAATGGAGAAAGAAAGAAATTTGAAAGAGAAATTAAAATGAAAAAAACGGAAATGAAATAAATTTAAAATCAAATTTAAAAAAAGAAATTAGAAAGAAAAGGAAATTAAAAAAGAAAAAGAAATTAAAAGGAAAAGGAAATAAAAAGAAAGAAATTAAAAAGAAAAGGAAATTAAAAGAAGAAATTAAAAGAAATTAAAAAAAGAAATGAGAAAAAGGAAAATGAAAAAGATAATGAAAGATGAAGAAATTGGAAACAGATTTGAAAAGAAATAAAAGGGGAAATGAAATTCAAAAAACTAAAAGGCGAAAAAAACAAAAAAGCCAAAAAAGGAAAAAAAGAAATAAAAAAGAAACACAAAAAGAAATAAAAAGAAAACAAAAAAAGACAAAAAGGAGACAAAAGAGATAAGAAGAAAAGGCAGAAAAGGGCCAAAAAGGAGACAAAAAGGAGATTAAAAGGAAACAAAAAGGAAACAAAAAGGAGACAAAAAGGAGATAAAAATCCGAGAAAAAGAGCAGATGAAAAGGAGATGAAAAGGAGATAAAAAAGAAATAAAAGGAGCTCAAAAACGGGACAAAAAGGGGACAAAACAGAAGCAAAAAAAGGGAAGAAAACTTCACGAAAAAACCGAAACAACGCAGAAATGCAGACGAAAATGCCAGAAACCAATGGAAAAACTGGGAAAAAGGGGACAAAAAAAGAGACAAAAAACAAGACAAAAAGGGGACAAAAGGGAGAGAGGAAACAGACAAAAAGGGGACACAAAAGTGACAGAAAAAGGGAGAAAAAAGGAGAAAATAAGGGGAGGAAAGAGAGAAAAGGAGGAGAAGGCCGCGTCGGAAAGGCGCCAAAAAGGCGCCAAAAAAGGAGACAAAAAACAGGATAAAAAGGAGAAAAAAGGGAGTTTAAAAAGGGGACAAAAAGGGACAAAAAAGGGACAAAAAAGGGACAGAAAAGGGATAGAAAAAGGGAGGAAAAAGGAGGAAAAAAGAGCGAAAAGAAAGACAAAACCGCGTCAACAAGCGCTAAAAACGCGCAAAAAAACGCCAAAAAAGCGGCAAAAAGGGGACAAAAACCAGGGCAAAGAGGAGACAAAAAGGAGTTAAAAGGGGACCAGAAAAGGGACAGAAAAGGGAGGAAAAAAGGCGAAAAAAAGAGAAATGAACCTGGAAAAGAAGGAAGACGAGGGTCAAGAGGTAGACGACGGTGCAGCTTTTTACGAAGCGCCAGAAAATGGGGGAGGGGCGAACGAGGAGGCCGTCGGGGAGCTGGAGAGTGCCGAAGAGAATGAAAATGAAGAGGGAAGCTAAAACGCCCCTAAAAAACCAAAAAAAGACTCAAAGAAGTCAAAACAAATGCGGAAATGAAAAGACAATCTTCAGGAGATGCAAACTGCGCAAAAAGCAGAGAAATTCGCCGCAAATTCGCGCCGAAAACGTCCAAAACGTCGAAAAGGAAAGCCCCCAAGAAAAACCCAAATAGTCCCGAAAAAGACCCCGTTTTCCGCCAGTTTGCAAAACAAAATCAAAAGAATCTCATACTGTTCTTCAATTGCAAAAAGAAATCAAAAATTCCAACAAAAAAAACAAAAAAAGACAAAAAAAAGGGAAAAAAAGCAGCAAAAACGGCCCCCCACGCACCCCAGGAGCCGCAGCCGCCAGCTGCTGCGCCGCTGCGAAAGCAGGTAGGAGCAGAAGAAGACCAGCGAGAGGCCGAGGCAAAGACAGGAGACAGTTTTGGGTCTAAAAAAGGAAAAAAGAAAGAAAAAAAGGAGAAAAAAGGGAAAAGAAACTTTCCACAAGTCCCCGGCAACTCTCCCCTTTTTTTAGCCAAAAAACGCAAAAAAAAGCCCGCAATTTGACCCTTTTTTCGCCGAAAAACACATTGAAACGCAGCAGCAGCAGCAGCAACAGCAGCAGCAGCAGCAGCAGCAGCAGCAGCAGCAGCAGCACATTTTTCACCGATGCAGCCATCCTTCTTTCAAAAACTCCGGAGATTGAGAGGCCCTATCTCTGGGGCCCATATATTCTCGAGCGGGTACTAAAGTCTGTACCCCTGCGTCTTTTTGCTGCTTCCGGGGGGCCCCCCA